GGGAGAATAAAAAAAAAAATTCAAGGTAAAGTTTTCAGCCCACCTGGTACTTAGAGTAAAGGCTCACAGAAAATGAGCAATTTTCTTACATGGTTAACCAGTATTGGCATGTTCCCATTTACAGGGATAGTAACTAAGGCAGACACAATGTGTGGAATCAAATATTTTGGCAAAGCATATATATTCAAGAGTAATTAATTGGGAAAATTTTCAAAAGTATCTATAAGTTTTTATCTTTTATTCAGGAAATGGGTTTTAAGGTAGAACCCATACAAATAAAAACTACTAAGCCTAGAAAGTATTTCTGTTCCATTTTTTAAACACAACAGAATGAAACAAAAACAGCTTGATAAATATCTCCTTTTAACTGCAAGGTGTGCTTCGGTGAAAATGTTTACTTACTAGTTAATATCTAATTGACGGTTATATGTCCTAACTTTGTATTTAAAAAGGAATATACTTACAATGCAATGCCCACCCATGTTAGTCTAAATTACCGAGGTCTGTGAACTACTCTGTGGCACATGAGGTTCCCCAACAGTCCAGAATGTAAGCTGCAGCCTTCTAAGCGACCACTATGGATCCTCATGACAACCTATAAGCATTATTATCGTCATTACTACATAGGATTAAAATGAGTGACAGAGAAGTTAAATAACTTGCCCACGATCGTACAACTGGAAAAAAAAAAAAAAAAAAAAAGAAGAAGAAGGAAAAAAAGCATGAAATCAAATCCAAGCACTCTGGCTCTTTAGTTCTTATCCACTGCACTTCACTGCCCACCGTATATAAGCCTATTATAGGCAGAGTGAAAAATCCCACAAAGGCACAGTTCTAATATTCATTGAGCACTTACTATATGCCAGGCACAAGGCACTGAAGATAAAGAATTAAAAAAAAAGGGGAGGGGGGGCCTGGCTCTGCGCTGGAGTCTTTTTTTCTTCCTTCCTATCCTTCATTTCTCTCTCCCTCCCTCCCTTCCTTCCTTCCCGAAAATTCAGTGTAGGTGGAAAACAAAGTAGCTAGTTACAGTAAAATGTGTTCATGCTCTGGTTAGCAGACAATCCTGCTTCTTCGGGGAACATAATGCAAAAGACAACTCATTTAAATAACATTATGACCCTTAGAAACGCCAAATTTATTTTTTTTAATATTAAATCATTGTAATACACTTATCTGGAACAAGAGCATAGAAAACATTATATAAACCTTTCCTTTACGGGTTCCGGTCATTGCTGAGCATACCAAGAGCACTGTAATAATGTCAAGGTGTTTTTAAGAATGAGAAACACATTGCCCCTACTTTTTAAAAATGTAAAGTTAGCTCGCTCGCTCGCGCTCTCTCTCTCTCTCAGACCTTAGTGCACAAGGTTACTGCCTATCTCTAGCAACTGTACCCTCTCCTAATCTGAAATGACATATAAGCAAGTTAATCAGTAACCATACTCTGAGTTTAAATTGTCAAGAAAGATCCCTTCTCTAGAGTAAAGTACTCAGATTTATAACAGTTCACCTATTTTCTTTGAGTTTCTTTCATGTAAGTACAATAAAAGGGGGTGGATAACTTTAAAAACAAATTTCATCAATTTCAAAATTTTACCCATGACAAACCTGGAAAGAGGGACCATGACAATAGTAACAGCTAATCTTGAATAAGCAGTACCTACTATGTGCCAGGTGTGCTAGCAGCTGAATAGGAATTAATTATTTTATCCTCATAATACCCTATGAAATAGGTCATTTTAATCTTCAGTATATAAATTTTTTTAAAAATGAGGCTCAAGTTCACATAAAAAGATGCAAGACTAAAATCTGAATCACATGCTGAAAGAAAAAAAAACAAAAAACCCTTAAATGTCTTGGCAGCCAAGCTGGTAAAGAACTGCGTGGAGTGGTTGGTTCAGTTTTAAGATTACAGAGCTGTGGTTCTCCACCACGGCTGCACGCTCCAACGGGAAGATTGCTCAGTGAGCTCCACCCCTTACAGATCGTGATTTAATTGGCCTGGGAATTGCCCAGTTAATTCTAATGGCCAGTTCATTCTAATGGCCAGTTAAAGCTGAGAACCAGTGTGTGTAGAGGCAACAGAGAATGGTGCATGGCCCACTTGAGAGGAGTTTTTAAAACTTTAAAAGGTTAAGGAAACACTGTGCTGGTCAAAGGTAGTTAGCACTGCCTCTGCCACCAACAAGTACCATCAGCCCCGCTCCTCAGCATAATGAACGTGCAGTGTGAATGGCAGACGCTGATGGGCTGACAGACACAGACATTTGTTTTTAGTGGAGGGGGTTGCCAAGTCTTGGAACTTTCCCCATGTCACCTCCACCATCTCCTACTTTGGAACTGTTTGACTACAAAAGGCACCTGGTATTAGAGATAACCTACTTTCAAAATAAGATCTGGAGTACAACCCATTCTTAAACTGAAGAGGACCGAAATAGGCTCACTTAACAAATGTATACCATCAGATTACAGGGCAAAACTAATTAAACATTTCAAGAATCATATTTTTTAAAGACGGTCACTCATAATTGACTCTGATCTTTATTCAAGCCAGCTCACGCGATCTCATGAAACTAAACGAGTCTTAAGAATAGAGTCTAATACCCTACAAACAAATGCAGGCAGTATATAGCGCTACTGAGTAAAATGTCATTTGTCATTGGAAAAGGGAAGCAAACTTGCATACTGTCAGAAAAATCTTCATTAAATGGCCTAAAGATGTGAAATCCAAAATAAATGCAGTTGGGTCAATAGGGAACCCATTTTAAAGGGAAGAGACTATAGGCTGCTTGGGAAACAATTCTTCAAGCTTAATCACATTATAATTGCTGTAGCACCACAACTCAAGAGGAAATGGCAAAGAGTGAATTAGGAATGGACTTTAAGGCAGCTCAATCAAACTAGCCACAACATTTTTTCTTCTGCTGCAAAACTACATTGTGTATTGTAATGGTCTTGTGTTACCACTTACGACCACTTTCCCTCATTACCACCAAAAGAAGGCAAATAAAAGGAGAACAGAAATTGAGATTGCTTTTCAAAATGGAATGCTGCAAATAAAAGCTATGACTCAGAAATCAGGGTCTTGGTCAATGAGTTCCAGCATTGGCCGTTCAAGCAAAGGCACTACTTGGGCAAAATATTTCATTGTTGTTGCTTTGTTTGGCTTTTCACAACGCAGAGACAGGGAAGTGAAGCCTGAGAAAGCAGATGAAAGTGCATGAGATTAATTTTCTCACCATGGGTTAGAATAATTTTATTTGCTGACTGAATAAATACATATACCAATCCCCCCCGAGTGTCAGGCATTGTGCAGTGCCGAGGACGTACTGGTAAACATGACAGTGTCTGCTCTCATGGGTCTCCTAAAGTAAGAGGCCAGGGCCCCAGCCTCCTGGAACCCACCACACAAGCCCCTTCCATCCATGAGTGTGAAAATCCAGGCCTGCCCTTGCACTAGTAGACAGCAAATTTTTCCCTTGGTCTAACTGCAATGAACTTCCCAGGGAAGCAGCTGATATCATCTAAATAAATAAGTAAATAAATATAGACCCATATTTCAAATACCAACAATATAACTCATGGGTAAATGTCCACAAGTTTAAGGGGGAAAAAATTTCTAAGTTAAGGCTATCGAAACAGGTTTTCCTTTAGAACTAAGACCAGCTAACATTTTCACTGCCTGTGGCTATGCAGCTTCACTAAGCTAAAAAATACTTTTATTTCTGCTAAGTTAGGAAGAACAAATAAGACCAAGCAATCAGCTGTGTATCATTTTCTCTCATCTTAAATTTTTTTTTTTACTAGAAAACACTCAAAATATCTGAGGCAACAAAAAGGCATTTGTTTTATATTTGTATACATATACAGTGACAGATACATCTATTCAGCTTGTATCCTCCTAGTAACATGAAATAAGCCATATTTGCGTTAGGAACAAAAACTGTCAACCTTTCACTGTTCACAGCTTTTTATTGTTATTTTTTGGTTGGAGAGAGGGCTGACTAAGTGTTGAAAACTAACCACAAGTACATGTAAAAGCTTTCAAAATATATGTATAGGATGACTGTGTTCTTAACAAGACAACACGGTGCTTACGTTGCAGTCATGCATCATTTATGTTTCTGAAATTTACCTTAAATGAGATTCAAAAATAGGAGGATAGGGGCTTTGAGTCTTTCTGTAGATCTTGCTCAAGTGATGTTTGCTATGTCTGGCAAAGTGAAAAACTATGTTTCTCTTCTTGGACTTCTCACAGCTAATTGTAAAACACACACACACACACACACACACACACACACACACCCCACCCCCACCCCCCATCTCAGTGATGAACTAAATGTTAGGAAGACAAAGAAACTTTTTAAAAAAGCACATATCTGAAGGATGATAAACAGTAGTAGCATGGACTTTTCCAACACATCCAACATCTCTTAAGTCACCCTGTTACGTTAAGGGAAACTAGCAGGACTAGGTTCCATTTGACTAGGCCATTAGCTTGGGCTGCTGGGTCAATGGTTTAATTTCTCTTGAAAAAAACAGCACAGTTTGAGAAATCTCTGCCAAGTCCCCCATTTCTTAGGCTACTGACAGAGTCAAATGGAAAGCAAATACCTAGAACCAGGAAACCATTCCCCTCCGCAATGGGCTGCCAGAAGCGGAGCGACGGCTAGTGGTTTGCCTGCCCGGACTGCAGCTGGGCCTTTGACAAGTGCTAGAGTAAAAGACACGGTGTGTACCCTCCCATCCAAGGCCCAGCAGAACCAGTGGCTGGCGCTACCGGTTTCAAAGGTAACCGCCTTTGGAACCTGGAGGTCGGGGATGTCACCTCCCCTGACACTCCAGGGGACCTAGAGACCCTGCAGGGCTCGCCTCTGATGTCCCTGAAGGTCAGAGGTGGCACTCGCAGTGCCAAGTGCTCACCAAAGCCACTTTTCAGCGGGGGCGGGGGCGTGGGGCAAAGTTGGCCACTGGCCTCGTGGGTCCATTAACCATACCTTGTAACTGGGCGGAAAGGGACTCCTGGTGCTGCTGGTACTTGAGCGCCACCGCCTCGGCTTTCCGCAGCTGCGTCTGCAGCTCATAGTAGAGCATCGCGCCGTAGAGAAAGCCAAACACCACTGTCAGCAGCAGCAGTGTCTGGAAGATCCGCTTCTGCTTTCGGGAACACATCCCGTTTCCCATAGTCCCAGCCGGACCGCGCGCCGCGGCCGTCCCCTCCTCCCCTCCACCCAAGCGAGCGCCTCAGCAGCGGCCGCCGCGGGAGGTGGCCGGACGCAGCATGAGGAGAGGCGAGACAGACACAAAAGCGGGGCCCAGGGGGAAGTGGCTCTCGCTCAGCCCCCGCGCGCTGTGGGACGCACAGCCATCGACACCGCTGGGGAAGCCGCCGCCAAACTTTTGCGATGCTGGCTATCTGCTAGTCCCGGGGCCTGGGAGGGGGCCCTCCGCATACTTCTGAGCGGGATGTCCTCGCCCGGATCCCCAGATGCCTCCTGTCTCTATTCCTCCTCCCCACTTTTTGGCCCGGCTGTGCCCGGCGGCGCTCGGAGTCCCGCCCTGGCCGCTCCCCGCCCCCTCGCGGCGGTTCCCACTGCGCGACTTTGTTGCCACCAAAAGGAGGGGGTGCGCGCCCAACAAAGGGACCCGGGCTCCAGGCGGTGCCACCGCGAGGGTTTGGGTGGGGTGGGTGACGGGTCCGGGTTTGGTGCTCCCCCGGCTTCGGGGGATGGCGGGCCGGTATCACTGAGGAGGCTGCGGAGCCTCGGCCGCCGCCGCCTCCCGCCCAACTTACGTGTCACCCACGGCTCCGCTATTCTGGCCAACGGGATTCCCGGAGGAAGTCCCACTCGGGCTCCCCGCTCATTGGGCCCGTCCAAGCTGCACCTCCCTCCCTTCGGGGAGGCAGTGCCGGGCTCGATTGGACGCCCGCTTTGTCCGTCCGACCCCAGGGCCGCGCCTTCCCTCCAACTGCGGGGCCGCCGAGGGGCTAGTGGGTCGCCTGGCCGCCTGGCGCCAAGGTGCGCCCACGTGGAGTGTGGGTGGGTGGGGTGAGGCGGCGGAGTTGGTGGCAGGGTGATTGGGGTGCGCCTGGGACACGTCCCGGCCTGCGGCTGGGCGAGGTACGGTGCGCACGTGTGTGAGTGTGCCTGTGAGTGACTGTGATCCAGCACTTGGAACGCATTTGGGAAGAGGAGTACATTGTACATAAATGAGAGAATGGTTTGGAGCAACTACACTCTGCCGAGTACGCTTTCTATCTTTACCTATCCAGTGGGCAGATACGATAGACGCGAGGGATAGCCACGTCGTCAGCACAGTCTCCATATAGGAAGAGGAGATGCTGCAAGTACACTCTTGCCCCATCCAGTGTTCTAGTGTGAATGCGTTTGTGCCCGCAGATGGCAGGACACGAGTCGGGAGACTCTTGCGCGCTAGACTTCCTGCTCAACTGTCCACGTGGGTTGAAGAAATCAGCTTGCCTTTGGCCGAAGGGAAAGAAATGATCTCATATTTTTCCTTCTGGCTGCAAAGAGAATAATGTAAAAACATTTTACAGGCTGAAATGAGTACGCATTTATTTCATCATATGTATTTACTTTATTGGTGGCAAAAAAATAAAAATCAGTTACATTGTTAAATTACATTTTAAAGGCCAACAAAGTGTCTTAAGTAAAAACAAGAAAAACAAACAGTAAACACAAACCTCTTCAAAGAAAATCCATAGTGCATTTGTTCTTTCTATGTACTTGAGGAAGGAAAAAAATGAGGTTGTGCATAAATAATATTGCTTCTGCTCTTGACCTATATTCTAAGAAAATAAATTATTTCTCAAATGCCTCAGTAGTGTCTTGGAATTTATTACATACTGCATAATTTTAATATATTCTAACTGGATTTTAGTCATCACTATCAATAAAGGCCAGTGAGTACTCAAAATGAGCTTGCCTGTTTAGCCAAATACAACATAAAGACAGTCCCTGGTGCAGAATTTTTTAGGTTGGCTCTGAAGTTACAGGATGCTAAAAACCATAAAATAAACTGAATTTACAACCTAGCTAGCCTGTGACATAAATTTATACTACCATGAAAACTAAGTGTGCTTGGCATGTGCTTTTCCCTAATAAATAACTTACAGTATATTGTTCAAAAGGTTCCCATGTACAAATACATTATTTCACTAACCACAGATGTTCCTCAGCTTGTCATGGGATTATGTCCTAATAAACCCATCATAAATTGAAAATATCCTAAGTGAAAAATGCATTTAGTACAGCTAACCTACAGAACAGTATAGTTTAGCCTAGCCTAACTTAAATATGTTCAGAACATTTACATTAACCTAAAGATGCCAGATAAATTGGGCAAAACCGTCTAATGCAAAACCTATTTCATAATAAAGTTTGAGCATCTTATGTAATTTATTATGTATATGGTTTTCACACCATCTTAAAGTTGAAAAATCGGAAGCTGAACAATTTTAAGTCAAAACTCGGCACGTCGAGGAGCATTGTAAGTCAAGGACCACAGGAATTAAAACTCTTGTTTTGGTAAATAAAGAAAACAGAGTTTGTCTGAGTGACTGATAACGCTAGGCCCTTCTAGATCCTGCAGGGTAGATCCTGTCCTTTCCATCTCTTTCTCCTGCAGTAGCCAGGTTCACACTCTTTTTAAACAAGTTATTTTAACAACTTGTCTCTGGTCCATTAAAATGAAAACCAAATTTAAAAAGCAGAAGATCTAAAGAAGTTTTAGAGTTTTTTGTTCTGACCTGTAAATATTATATAGCCTTACTTGTCGTTGAATCTACCGCTTTAAATTCCCCTCTTTCAATTTGACTCTTACCAACTGAGACTGGATAGTTCCTGCGACCTTGTGAAATTTCTTCTAATTTAAAATTGCTTACCATTGCCACTGTACAATTTGCTAAACAAATTCTTCCTCCAAAAAAAATCTCCCAAAACTCTGGTGGAAATAAAGTTTTATAGCTACAATCCCGGGCCATACTTAAATAGAAAATCATCCTAGTCATAAAAGAAAAAGAAACTGTACGCAGGGTTGGGAAATTATTTCTCATATATTATACACTATGCAGTGTTTAGTTGTATTTCAGAACCTTTGAACAATTCTTATGCTTCCAGAATACATGATTACTCATTTTAAACTTCTCATTTCTTTGCATCAGATTCCAGACTCCAAAGGCATTCTTTGCCTAAAGCTGCTGGCTGACTGCACAGAAAATAATAAATGTAGGCCATAAAACACAACTCAATATTTTAGTCATAAAATTTGAAAGAGAACAAAAATTATTACCTGAACTTACCCATTATTTCAAATTCTAGAAGGGTATGTAGAAGTACATAAAATCACTAATGGCAGTGTCTTTATAATATTACTTTTCCAAGGTGAAGTATGCTGCTAGTTTTTTGAAAATATCAGCATAGAACTTTTAGGAGGCCAACATTGGGGAAACTATCCAGGGCCTATAAATTGAATTGACATAACATTGCCTTAGAGCACAGCTTGTAATAGATGAGCTCTTTTGACTGGTCTTGCTAGGTCTGCTGTTAGTTATATTTTATTTTTGTTTCGTTATCATTTGCATAATAGTATCATGTAATTATATTTTATACGCCATATATTTACCAATATATACAATTTAAAATTGTAATATATCATGTATATTATAAAATATATGTAATAAAAAATTGAAAATCCTGAGGAATATCCCCAATTTAATATTTCATTTCTAAGGCAGGCAGAAATTAAAGAGATTCAAGCTGTTATATTTGAGAAGTGCTATCTACAGCCCCACCGCCCTGGACGCGCCCGATCCCATCTCTTTGGAGAAGGGCTAAGGTAACATGAGGGAACCGCAGCAAGCATTCTTTTTAACTGCAGTCAATTTGTCATTTTAGTAAAATGTATTCATTTTTTAAAATAGAGGAAAACAAGAAAAATATAGTTGAGGGATACAGCCAGAAAATAATTTGTAAAATTGGGTGGTTTTAAATTGATAATTTAATTCATCAGTTACAGTAAATAATTTCAATTTTCTGAAATTTCTCATTTAACTCTTTATTACAATTAAACTCAATATATATTTTAATTGGTAAGAGAAGTCATCACCTAAGAAAAGGTGAATGTTAAATAATTTTTAAAAATTTGTAACTATGTGTGGTGAGGGATGTTAAGTAGACTTATTTTGGTGATCGTTTTGTAATAAATACACATATTGAATCACTATGTTGTACACCTGAAACTAATATAATGTTATACGTCAATTACATCTCAATAAAAAGTAAATCAATAAAATTTTAAATGGCATTTCAGTATTAATAAATCACTTTTAACCTTTTCACATGAAAACTGCTGAAATCAGCTGTTTTTTTTCTCTTCAGGAAACTTCACTCTGTATCTGCCTTGTTGCCACTTTTCCTCCTTGCTGTCACTTAATTAACACACAAGCTTCTCCTTGTCACTTTTACCTGACTTGTTTTGAGGGGTAAAGGAAGGTACACTCAAAATATTCTCTTTTTGAGGACTCTGAAAGATGTTTTGAAACTCCTTTTTCATAAGATTTTGCTAATGATCTGGTGGTCCCTGTTAGCTAATTAAGAAAGTAAAAAATAGGCCTTTGTCTAAATAAATAACAAAGTAACTGAACCCCACTCTATGTGTCTAGGTATCTTATTTTGGTCTGTCTATAAGGTGCCATCTTTGTACCTCTGAATACCTTTGTACATCTTTGTACTACTGGGCTCACCAAAAAGTCCGTTCAGGTTTTCCCGTAAGATAAAAGACATATTTTTCATATTCACTAATAGCGTTATTGATGAGTATTCATTTTGAGTATGTCAGCTATCTCCCTGCTGTTGGCTTCCGGTGGGTGGAGGCCAGGGGTGCTGCTAAACACCTTCCAATGCCTAAGACAGGCCCACAGCAAAGGATTATTTGGCCAAAATGTCAATGTCACCAAGAAACTTCACAAACCACTTTTGACACATTTGATCAGTCACAGCACCTTCTCCATACACTGCACAAATCTTTTTGTTTTGCGTTTCAGTTGCATTTTTACCTTTCTTGAAATAATAAAGCATAATATGCTGAAAATGTTGCATATCTTCTTCCATCTTCAATATTAAAATGGCTGCACAAAAATTCACCAGTTTTGATAAGCTTTTTTTTTTTTAATGCATGCTGATATAACAGTTGTCACAACACAATCTAGCAAAATTGTTTCGAGTGAAGCTAAAGACAACTAAGCACTACTAGAGCCTACGTATGGAAAAAACATAATGGACTTTTTGACCAACACAATCTCTAAGGAATTAGAAAGTGAAGGGGAAAGTAGATGTTTAGCTCTTATTTGTAAAATGCTTTTCAATAAGAAAAACCTGACCAACAACATCACTAATAATACCTTTGAAAATGAACTACCTGTACATTGATAACAGGGGAAGTGACTGAGGAGGCCCTACTTGCCGCAAGATGTATGGCTAGACAAAAGACACAGGAACTATCATTTGTGAAACTTCTGTAACAACTTTCTAAAACAGACCCATGTAGCATACTCAAAAACTCTTCTAAATTCTAAGGTGGCACAAGAAATTATTTTGAATTTGTTGTTTAACCTTTATTATGCTAGCATGTCATGAACTAACTTGCATATTCATTTTAGCAAATAGTATCATAGAATGTTAGAATGAATGTTAAAAGGCCATATGTGAGACTCAGAAGTGAAATGAACTTCCCAAATCTTCTGTTGTCTCACTCAGGAAGCTTTTTACTCGTTCCCTGCCTTCAGGGGA